AAAAAAATAACATGATCGTGAAATAAGCACTGATTTGAATAGTACTGATTTTTGTATTAATGGAAATAGGATTAATACAGCAATTGTTTGGGTGAATGTTTACTTTTTGGAAGATGTGTTTACAACATACATTTGTTTCGGATGCCTACTGGGTGCCTTCCTAGGACGGTGTTCTGGGCATGTCCCACTGGGAGGAGGTCCCGGGGAAGACACAGGACAAGCAGGAGGGACTATGTGTCTCAGCTGGACTGGGAACACCTCGGCAGTCCCCCCAGAGGAGCTGGATGAAGTGTCTGGAGAGAGGGAAGTCTGGGCATCTTTGCTTAGACTGCTGCCCCTGCGACCCGGTCCCGGATAAGCGGAGGAAAATGGATGGATGGATAGATGGTGTGTGTTGTATCATATAGGTCATAATAATACTGTTGACTAAATGCATGTCGACATGACAAAATTATGCCATAGCTGTGTGCAACAGCAACCCAAAGTAGGAAGGTTAATATAGTAATTATAGTACGACAGGTTTGTTCCCATCTGGGTCAGCTGATGTTGACCGTCGGCAGATTAAATCGTGTAGTGTGAGATATGTAAAAATCCTAATTTTAATTCTTCAGATCCTGCCAGCCATTCTCATAAAGATTTAATTAAAGGTGCATTAACCAAGATTCTATACAATGTCTGATAAATCCAGTGACAAAAGGACAAGACATGGTGTCTCTCAGCTACATCCTCCCTCCATGACCCTCTGTTGTTATCCCAGCTCCTCTACCCTGTGTTGTCGAAGTACGGTCTGTAAGTTAGCTCCCTATTAATACCTATTGTCGACATATTAATACCTATTAATATACCTTGATGCAGTGTGTGTGTCCTCCTGCAGCAGCAGAGTGTAGAGGACTCATCCCGCTGTCGTCTACATCTTCCATAGAAGTTACTGGAATCAGCAGCTTCAGAGCGCTGAAGAACACACACAAAGATACACAGGTAAGGCTGGACATGTGTGTTGATATATTCAACTTGGCTTAATCAGATAAATGTGCATAATGTGTACATGCATTTACTTTGATATTGTTAAATACAAAGTATTCCTATGATTTAGTACTTCCACAAAGGTGGACAACTCACTGAAAACTGATGATTTTCTTTAAACATTTATTTTCTTGTATTCACGTTTAAAAATGTTCTAGTCCCTATTGTCAATTATGTCATTTTCTTTTATTTTATCCAGGTTTATTTAATTAACTTATTATAAAATATGCATCAAAGAAGATCATTTATATAGAATATAAGATTTACTCCAGGTGCCCTCTGTGTGCGACACGGTGGATTGGCATGTGTCCAGTGTGGTTGGCGGCGTTGGCATCGGCGCCGTATTCCAGCAGCAGACTGATGACGGATGGATCTCCGGCTACACATGCCTCATACAAGATAGATGCTTCATCCTGCGCCTGGGACAGGACATTGGCCTCTGAATAACACACAGCATGCAAACACGTTCATGGCACGTCACAACCCTGAGTGATAAACAACAGAACTCATAAAGTTGTAATGTCATTTAAAAAGTCCTGGTTGTAATGCTGTTTACAAAACTGAGCGCTGCTTAGTTTCCAGGGCAGGTTAAAGCCCCAGTGGTACTGTTTATAACCTGTGTACACTCAGTTGTGGAAAAAATACTCAGATCTTTTACTCAAGTACGAGGTTACGGTTACAATTAAAAACCCAGCTCCGCCCACACTCACCTGCCTCCTACCTGTGTGATCAGCCAGCCAGCATGAAGACCAGCTCTCAGTATTTACCCACTGCCAGACTGTAGTCGATGAACTCATCTCTCTGTTCATCCTGGTTTCGGGCCGGTTTACTCTCTTGGACTCTGGCCCAGCATTTCCCCTGTTCTGACTGCTGGATTCACCTGTGTATGGACGTTTGCTCTCTTTGGACCTCTGCTCAGTAAACTGTCCCATAATTTGTGCATGGACTCCATTTGCTCCCTGATTCTGATTCTCTGGCTGCCTCCAGTCTGGACTGTTTGTCTGGCCTGATATTTGGATGCGATTTGTTTCTGTTGCGGTGACCACAAATGAACCTGTTGCCTTCTGCAGTCTGTCCGTGCGCTCCCTCGCCACTTTCACCTGTATGTTTGGTGTTTCACTCCTGTTTGCTTGCCTTACCTGTTTTTACCTTTGCCAGTGTTCTGTATTACCTGCATAGATAAACTCACTGAATCTTCTATATATTGTAAGGTTACCTGAGTCAGATACCTATCCCGCGTGCTCCTGTTTACCTGTAATCTGTTTTCCAGCATTCCTGTGATTATCTTTAAGCTTATTGTTTAAGTTTTAAGGAGATTTTGTTCAAGCACTCAGCAGAGAGTAGTACTGTAGAGACATCCTTCCTCTCACCTCTCTTCAGCAGAGTCTCCACCACCTCTAGGTGTCCTCCCTGAGCAGCGAGTGCCAGCGGCGTGAGACCGTAGTGGCTGCGAGGGTCCGGCTGAGCTCTGGCCTCCAGCAGCAGACTCACCAGGGCTGCGTTGCCCAGACGTGAGGCCTCATGAAGTGGACAGCGGCCATTGCAGCCCTGCTGGTTCACCCTGGAGCCCTGCAGGAGCAGCAGCTTCACCAGGTCAGTGTGTTCTGAACGGATTGCTGCAGAGGGATGGAGTCAGACAACAGATGGTTTACAGGAGGCTGCAACTGATGAGCTCGGAGCTGAGGAAAGAGAAGTCTACACCGTGGTGTATTTGTAATTTTCATTTTCTGCTTCATACTTTGACTTCACCACATTTTAGAGGCAAATACAGTACTTTCCATTGCACTACTAATCCTCTTGCTCAGTTTTGCCTGGCTGGACGCTGTTCTTCCCTGCATACCTAGACTGTGCTCCTGTATTTGGGTCCTATTCTATTCAGTTTGGCATTGATGTAGTGAAAGTGAGTGTGAGTGTGTGTGGTTGTCTGTCTCTAAGTGTCAGCCCTGTGACAGACTGGCGACCTGTCCAGGGTGGACCTCGCCTCTCGCTTAGTGTCAGCTGGGACCCTTGTTAGGATAAGTGGTATAGATCATGGATGGATGGATTGTTGTAGTGAAACATGACAAGAAGAGAAAGAGCTGAAGTGCTTTTTAAAATGTTTAATAATTTAAACGTTTATTTATTTTGAAAAGCCATCTGAGACGGTTTATTATTCAAGTCATTTTGAAAAAAGTCTTTATGCCTGACTGGACGAGACAGTACAGACCAAACTGTGAAACAACTGGGAAACCTTTCCTTTGGCCAGTTAATCAGGCTTTGAGGCAGCAGAGTGTTGGTCAGCCTACCTACAAACAGAGGTGCATCCTGGTCATGGTCCTGGCTGTCCGGCTGGGCTCCGTGTTTGAGGAGGAAGGAGACGTTTTCCATCAGACCCCGTTCTACAGCCAGGAAGAGAGGCGTCTGTCCACGAAGGGTACAGCGCTCCAGAGAGTCCGGGCCTGAAGCTGGAGGACAGGATACTGTGCTCTGTATCGTTCATCACACGTGTGTCTGATTAATAGGGATTCGTGTTAGTGTGAAGCTAGTACAGTATTAGTATGAAGCGGATACAGACCTTTGTATGTGAGCTCCAGGATGGTTTGGTTGCTCTGAGCTGCTGCTTCATGGAGAGGGATCCAACCTCTGCTGTCAGCCTGTGAAAACCTGTCTTTCTGTTTCACACTCAGATGCTTCAGGAGCTTCTCGTTACCTGGAGGGATGGATAGGCAGAGAGATAAAACTCCCATATAAAAATACTTCACTGTGAAAGATAATTTGTCAAAAATGTCTTTTCTAGCAACACCGACTGAACACCCTTCCTACAGGACATAAAGACAGTCATCTATCAGTAGTGTGGACTTATAGTTTCCAGTGAGACTGAGATCAGGGGCCTGACAGTAGGAGGTGAATTTCCATCCTCATCACCTCCAGGGCCTCTGTTGCTTAAAAAAAAAGTATTTATTTATTTTTTTTAACTGAAATGTGCCATTCTGCAACATGAGTACTTTTACTTTTGGTACTTCAAGTATGTTTTTGATGCAAGCACTTTTGTACTTGAAGTGAAAACACTTCAAGCTTTTTTACTTGTAACAAAGTACTTTTACACTGTGGTATAAAAGATGTGAGTACTTCTAACACTGTTCTTTTCCTACATATACAGTAGTAAGGACATAAACCACTGAGTGAAATTAACCCTCATTAAACGCATAAAATTTGTCCTGAAATTTTTTAGGGGAAGCGAACAATGTAATTGGTTCACAGTTTAATTTGTTCTATAATAAATGTTAGGTATTAATTAATAAATAATTCTCTAACAACTGAAGCATTCAGCATGTTAAAGGTCACCTTGTCTTACAGCAGTGAAGATCATGCTGCTGTCTGCAGCATCAGGCCCAGAGCTGTGAGGAAAGACCAACACAAAGACTCACAAACTGAAGTGGGAAAGTTATCTGATCAAGTAAAGTCGCAAAAACGTCCACGAGACTGAGGTTTTGGCTCCAGTGCAACCTACAGAATCTGCATTTCTTCTTCTTAGCTGTTTATTAAACTACGTATTCATTTTGTGTAAATATGAGCTTTTGATACTAAACAAAAAAATTACAGTATTAAGTGTCAAAAATACGGAACACCAAAACTGCCAAATGATTTTCACACGGGTCACAAATTTAACCAATAATTAGTGTGTAAACAGAAATATAAAACTTCGGTTATATTTTTGACGTGTATGATAATCCTCTACTGCCTTGGCCAACTTTGGGTATCCATACTTAAAACTGTAGTTCTCTTGGATGAAACTCATATTAATACAACATTTGCGTCAGAATATGAACTTAAATAACAAAAAAACTGCAAATATAGCCAAGGTGAGAGGAGTCTGGAGGATTGTGTGCAGTGATGGAGGACAGAGTTAACTGTAAGACTGACCTTCTGCCGTCTCGTGTCTTGGTGTCTTTGTGTAGTTCCTTCTGTTTGCTGCTCTCCATCAGACTCTGTGCAATCATGTACTGAATAGCTGCATCATTTTCATCATCCTCCTCCTCTGTCCCAAATCGCTGAAACTCCATGTTGTCCCGCAATAAGGGTCCTGGCCGTGTTCAGAAAGGGGAAGAAGTTGTAAAGACATTATTTCATTTTGCTTATTCGGCACATCAGATGTGGCCATAAGTATGTGGACACCTGAGCGTTTCAGCCATGTCTGATGGTTTAACCTGTGGTTGTGCTTCTGTAACTCTCCCATCACTCTCCTGATTTCAGGTTTTCCACCAGATTTTGGAACCTGGCTGCTGGATTTTCAGCCTTGCTGAGGTCCAGCACTGGTGTTGTGTGTCCAGACTAACAGTCAGTATCAGAATTCAGCTCATCCCAAAGGTGCTGGATGGGCTTTGGGTCACGGCTTTGTGTAAAGTTCTTCTGCATCAAACTGGCAAAACCTTGTTGATGTAAAGCTGCATTGTAACTAATAGCAGCATGCAGTCTTTTTTTTGGCACAATATTAGCCCACCCTAATTTTATATGTAGAGTCCAGTCATAGTATGTACTATATGTCTCCAAGGGAACTGTGGTCTAGCATCAACAAGGTAGATGTTACTTATTTTATCTTGTACATTTTGTCAACTTTTCATGCAAGAGAGAAACTACTAGAAAAGCCAGCTGCTGCTTTTCACAGGCTTATCACTATATTGTACATCTTCTTTTCATCCAACCATGTTTTCTTGTCTGTGTTTGCAGTGCTTTGGGCTGTGGCTGTGAGGGGGCGTGAGAAGCAGAGTAGCCATATTGAATGCAAGCTTACTGTGTAGTTTGAGTCGCCTTAGCTCAGTGTATGTGAAGTGGTGTCAAACTTTTTACTTTAAATTGGTTTGTATGTATGCTGATACACCAGCCTACTTCATGTCAGACCATTTCTGTCTCTATATAGTGAGTAAATCTTTTAATCTCTTTTATATAGTATCTTCTTTATTTTATACTCTTTGTTTTCCTCTGTAAAATACTGTATGACTTTATTTAGAGAAGTGCTATACAGTTTGCTTGCCAAAAGGTGATTGTATACAGTGGCAATAAGTTTTTTCACTGGCACTAAGGAATCAGGAAAACATAGAAACAAAGTATGACGTACATACATATAGTGCAATAAAAGGTGATAGCCTTCTTGGTGGAGACCAAGGAGGCAGGTGTAATGTGAGGCCTGGGTTCATATCCTCTATCAGATGAGCAGTCACACTGGCTGTCCCACTATGTAATCATAAGTTTCATAGCCTTAACCAAGCTGTTGTTGTAATTTGCAAACACAAAAATATATCTGTACTAGGCACATTAGTAAAAACAAAGGAACTAATAAAACATAAACACCTTTTCAAAGACGATTGACAATGGGTGAAGGTTCCTGTGCAGACAGATGAGGTCACTTGGTTTTTTTTACCTTCTGGTTTTGTGTCGAGTTGTTGTTGTTGTTGTTTTGGTTCCCTCTACTCGGCCATGACGTCCAAGCAGATTAAAAGAGGGTCTGTTGTTGCTGCAGATGGGAGGAGGAAGAAAGGTCTCTGACCTGTGACAGAATCCAGAGCCATGAGGCTACATGGGTTCTATCAATCATGAGTCAGACAGCGGAGGCTGTCTGACTGCAAATACACAAAGGTGCCTTACCCACAAGATTATTGTCTGTCTTAGAAAAGTGTCTTGATAATTCTGCAGGAAAAGATGTAGCTTCACCTGAACTGCGGACCTCAGCGTTTCAGCTGTTTGACTACATGGCTCTGGGGTCGGGGATCTGACACCTGTTACTATATTTACACCCTGCTGCTGAGTTTATGCAGTGACCAACAGTCAGCGTGACAGACCATGACTGGATTAAGTTGGTGGGGGACAAAAATCCAGCATTGACCCCACAATTTCACCCCTGACTTAACTGCCTCCTGTGCAGTGTGTATATCATATTAGTTGTTGACACTCAGCAGCTTTTCCCGTCCATCCATTATGTATACACCCATGGGGGGGCTGAACTGAGACTCAAATTTTGAAGCATTTTGGATTCAAACGTTAAATAAATGGAGTCCACTTAGTTGAATTTTGACAGACCATCTTTCAGCAACATATTTCACAAGGAAGGAGTGAGTACTGAGGACTTAGTGCCATGTATACCAGGAAACTTTGGCAATATCCAGCCCAAATAAGATAAAAATACTCTAGCCCAATTTGGCCATTTTCTACTTGCACCACAGATATTTAATGACAACACAGAACAATCAGACTGTATTTGAAAACATGTTTATTAGATTTTTTGTCCCAACTGTTTATGACCTGGGTCTCTCCTTCTTGCCTTTGTAGAGTGCCAGCAGGGAGACATTGGCCACTTTGACCACTTTAAAACGAACTCCAGGAATGTCACCAACGGCATGACCTTTACGCCCAAAGCCTGCCACCAGGACTTCATCGTTCTCCTGCAGGACAGGAAGCAGAAGCGGGAGAAAATATGGTTGTGAGTGACAAATACTGTTCTGTACATTCAGTGCAGGCTGTGGAATTCTGATCAGAAAGCATTATTTATTTTCTGTGGCTGATTTGTACCTGGAAAGACTCCATGTTTTACCAAGCACTAGTTCCATCTCACTTTCATTAATACAGCTTAATTTTTCTACTACAGATGATTTGCACAAATTGTATGTCATCAGCTGCACCAAACTGGATGTTCAATGGTCGGTTCTTCAACGACGCAGACAGTGTTGGTGTTTACCTCGATGAAATTGAGGCAACCGTCGTTGGGGACGAAGGCAGTGATCTTCTTGCCGTTCTTGATGAGCTGAACTCTCACACACTTCCTGATGGCAGAATTGGGCTGCTTAGCCTCCACACCTCTGCAGAGGGGAGAAGCACAGCACTATTCAGCAAACTCAACTACAAAACAGTTGAAATCACCCAGAAGAAAAACACAGAGACCTAGGTATATGGTCAACATAGATCTGTCCTTAAACGACCCTTCCCTTTATACCTGCTAAGGACTATCACAGATTTTCTCTTAATTGCCTGTGGCTTTTATCCACCATGTGTGATGCCATTAAATAAACTAATACAAACCAATCATATTCAAGGTGAAGCCCACATTTGATCTTGTAATAGCAATCAGAAATCTAAAGATTTGTTGAAATATTTCACCTTGCAACAAGGACTTTATAACTTTCAAACTGGTACAGAAGAGGAGAGGAATAATTGTAGCTTTTCCCCACCAAATATTCAGGCTTCTCCCTGATGCAAGAATAACCTGGCAAGTGGCCCCCAGAGTAATGGAGTCTGAAACACCCCGTATAATCGTCTTACTAAGCATATTGACTCTTTAGTCACCATGCAAAGAGGTTAAATTCAAAAGCCATTTGATGGGTGCACTTTGGAATGCCTACAAATGATAGTTTGTATCAGGAACTGTGTCACAAGACTAAGAGGTTTCTCAGCCATTAACATAACCTTCAGTGCCGGGTCACATGGTACTCACACTTTCTCAAGGACGATTCCCTTGGCGTGAGAGGCTCCTCCGAAGGGGTTAGCCTTCAGGGCAGTGCCCAGATGGGCCTTCTTATACTGTTTATCATGCCATTTCTGCTCACGGCGGTGATTACGGAGCTTCCTGGCTGTACGCAAACCACGACACTTTCCTGGAAGACAAAGACCAACAGGATGTAAGTTGGAGACAATACCAAAAAGTCTACATCTCACATTGATGAACAGAAGCGGATGTTTCCCTAATTGGTGGTTGCAGTGTGCAATTAATACAGTTCAAACATTAAAAGTGCAGACTATAATGATTAAATGAACATCACCATTCAAAAACCTCTCTACTATGGGTTTGTGAAGCAATTATGTCCCTTCACTTACTGAGCAAGTACAGTAACACAGGCAGCACCAATGCATTTCAGCCTCCATTATCATTCTACAATGATGACTTTGTAAACACTTCACGTGACAACAACAACATTTTAGATTTGAGCAATTTAATTTTGGTCTAATTGTCCCTGCTAGATTTAATGTAACTTCGAAGTCTGAGTAGGACTGAAACAGATCAAGGTGTATACAAGTCCTTTTCTCCATCTGAAAATTCCATAATTTGTCAAATTCTGTCATTCCTGCGCTATAATTAACTGTTCCCTCTCAACAGCTAGTTTTCTCACTTTGTTCAAGTGCTCAGACACCCAACTCTAACGTTACATTCTAGTTAGACCACTAAAACGCACTGCATTTAACATGAGTAGTTATCAGTGTACTGAACAAACACGACCTAAGTGCCCTGTGTGCGTTTTATCCCAGCATCTTTCCAAAACACACTGCATTTAAGAAGAATGTAACGTTACAGGTAAACGTAGATTAACGTTATTAACAAGGGGCTAGCAAGGGTAACGGAACAGTCACAATTTTAGACCTCATACAAGCCAACATCGTGATTTGGGGTATTTCATTGTGAACGGCTTGGTTTAAATATACAAAATACAAACTACTTTAATTTAAATATAATGGGAACATAACGCTGCGCTAAGCTAAATATGCTAATATACCGCTAGAGTTTTTAGGTGCAGTATGGCCGCTCCACGTTGCGGGGAAACCTTATCTTAAAACAGTAATTTTATTAATTTACTATGGCAGTTTTCTGCCACAAACATATCAAAACCACGTGTAAGATATTCAGCTACAATACACCTGTAAAATATCACCATACTGAACCAACTTTCTCAGTATTTAGAACGTTTTCTGTCATACCCATGATTGCAGAAGCGAGCCTGGGATGGAAAGGAAGGACCCAGGTTGCACCGCGGCAATGTCTAATCTGTGGACCCCGACCGGGCGTGGCTACACAACATGCCTGACTGAAATTCTTTATTTTTTATTTTATTTTTTTTATCTTTATTTTAAATTATGCCTAGAAAAATTCCAGTCCTTCGCAGAAGCAATAATAATAATATGATCAAATTAATTTAGAACGCGCGGGCCGACTAAAGTCCTCCCCCTTCTTCTTCTTCTTAACAATTAGTCGGAGGGTGGGGGTGGATAGATGGATTAAACAATGTAATTTTTTTCTCATTTAAGACAAAAATGACTTGTTAACTATCTTACTGACTACAATAAGTTAGCCAAGAAACTTTTATAATTGAAAAAATAAAATAAAATTATAATAGATTTTAATTAGAAAACGTATAGTCAAGAGTCAAGAATCTTTATTGTCATTATGCATAGCACAACGAAATGTTTTCCGGCAGCTCTCGGCTTACAAGACAGACATATTATTTACATAACACACAATTGTATAAGTCAATATAAAATTAGACAATACAATATGGACAATATATATACAATTTAAATAAAAAATGTAAATACATTCCAGAAATTAATCAAGAGTACATTTGTACTGAAAAGCTTTTTGTACATGCATTTATAATTTGTCCATTTTGTGTCAGGATTCAGAATCATTATTGCAACTTTCTGGTTCAAATTATGTATTTAGGGGCTTCATGGCGGAGCAGTGGTTGGTGCTGCCGCCTTTGTCTATGTCAAGATCTGGTCTGATTTGGTCTGACATCTGATCATACCAGCTTTTATTTGTTGTTGTTGTCGGTCCACTTTGATATGCTGTAGTTAGACTGATTTCATTACCTTTGCACCAATGACCTACTTGAATGCAATGCAAGACTTTTAGTTATAATGGAATATTTTAAAGCTGTCGAATTAGCATAAGTATCGGTGTACTTTACTAGTTAATACATGAGTACTTGTGGTTTACATGGTGATCAAGCAATAAAAAGTAACTGGTGTAATTTTAACTCTGTTCGATGGGGGCAGTAATACATGTAGAGGAGCTCAAGCAGCCACGTTATATTGTAGAAGAAGAATACGCTCCTCCTGACTGCTGCCGACCGCTAACGTTAACTTCATGTGCCAATTCCGCTACATCAAATGTAAAATATAGGTTACACGTTGTTTGAAGCAGTGGTTTAATTTCTTAGGCCAATGTGTTGTTTATTTTTTATCCGGACCACTGCAGGTTGAGTTAATCCCGTCATATTACCGGTTTTCTCCTCTTATTAGCATTGTGGCTAACATCCACGGTGTAGTTGTAGGGCAGTTCCGCAACCGGTTGACCGCTTTATCCGCGTTTAGCATTGCTGCTTTCTTCCTGACGCTGGGAACTTCATGTTTAACTACCTCTTCGCTGCTTTCACACGTTATACCCTCCACCTGCTCTCCTCCCCACCGAGGACTTTGACCGGAGCCTGCCGCCTTCTCGGTAGGATGGAGCGGGCAGTAGTGAGGTGTCTTCCCGGGGACCCCAAGCTCACCATCTCTTTCACCTTGGACGGCAGCTACAAGCAAATGCTGCGGGACCGGGACGAGCCGCTGGGCAAAGTCCTAACCCGGATCTCCAACAGCATGGTCAAGAGGAAAGGAAAGGCAAAGAAGTTGAAGAAGAACAAGGGGCAGCAGCCGTGTGAAGCCACGGAGCCCACCGTGGTGAAGCTATACTACGACGGAGACGAAGTGCTCGATACGGTACTGAACTCGGAGGCGTGGCAGGACGGAGCCGTGCTGCAGGTGGGAGACATGAAATACTCGGTGCACAGGAACGCTCCCACCTTCACCACCGCTGAGCTCCCGGTGTCGATGCTAGCCGGGTTTCCCGTCTGCCCCAAACTGGAGGTGGAGTTTGGGAACCTCCAGGACTGTGAGTTTACGTGGTACAAAGAAAATACCGGAAACACAAGGTAATTAACCTACAAAGAAAATTAGCTGTCACTGACAGTTGCTACTATACGGAGTTTGTGTTGGCTAATGCATCCATGGTCAGAACTGATTTGTGAAAATATGACACTGCTTTTTATGTGCTTTAAGTTATGGGCTCTGGGGAAAATACGCATCAGCACCACATGGACACAGTTGTTCTTATGTTACAAGTGTGAATAAAGGAGCCTAAGACAGGCACCCTCAGAGTTAATTTTCCCCCAGTAACATTTTAGATACTGATTCTTTCCTTAATAACTTCAGCCACATGATCAGAAACAGGAGCAAAGAACACAATGTTTGATATTAAGTATACACACATTGTAGTAACATTTGTACTACACTTTACTGCTGTGTCCTTCGGCATATAAGGAGTTTCTTACAGCACAGTAACTAAAAAAAGGAGGATGGTGACACAGTATATCCACTGATCCACAGCAGTCCCAAGGTCAAATTGCTGTTGTTTACATCAAGGTTCCTTAGCAGCAACACAAATTGTTCTCCATCACAGACTGATGGTTGAACAAGTTGTGGGACATCCTGTACTTATTTGTTTCCCCTTTGTTCTTGTCCAGCTCGGAAGGTTCTGGAGAAGTTCCAGATCAGGATGCTGGTTGGACTAAGGTAGGATGTAGCAGAGTGCATATCCCGTCCAATCAGGACATCGGCTGCAGGCTTAAACTTTGCTGCATCCCCAAAGATGGAAGTCGGAGTGGTCTGATCAAGGAGCTGATCTCTGCTGAGGCCGTGGAGGCCGGACCAGGCGTGTGCACGTTCGACAACAGACACTTGTACACTGTCAAAGAGGCGGAGTGGCCGACTGTGAGGGTGGTGTCGTACAACATCCTCGCTGATATTTACGCCCAGACGGAACTGTCCAAGACTGTGCTTTACCCGTACTGCGCCCCCTATGCCCTGCAGCTGGACTACAGACAGAACCTCATCAAGAAGGAGCTGGCTGGATACAACGCTGACATCATCTGTCTACAGGAGGTTGACAAAGGTAACCAGTGTCAAAACAAGCAGTTAATCAATAGAATTGATCAATAGTCAACAGCTCTTTTAATAATAAAGTCAATGTTTAGAAATTTATCAAAGACAGATGCCAAAGATTCACTGGTTCCAGCTTCTCCACTGTGACGATTTGCAACTTATCTCTCTTATATCATTGTCAAGTGAATCTCGTCAGGTTTTTAACTCTTAAGTTTCTTTCTATCCACCTGTTGTTATGTGCAAATCAAAAAGATACTAGATACTAAACAAGTGAACCCAAATGCAGACTCTGGACAGGAAAGGTAAGAAAACAGGTTTATTTACAGGTCCAAGGATCAAGGTTACAGGTAGCAAACTGAGGAATGTCTTTGAGGGAGAAACAAAAGTATTTACCAAAAACAATGAAGTGTCTAAAAAGTTATAATAGTTTCACCAACAGAAAATCCTTCCCAAACAGTCTCAAAATAGCACTGATAAGAAACTGGTTTGTGCAATTGAAACTGGTCAGGGCTCGTAACATTAGCAAGAAAAATTATAGTGAGAAAAATGAGCTGGATTGGAGTGGATATTTTCTTTTAGTAGATAAAGTGATAATATCCAGCTTCTCTGTTAAGTGTGTGACCCTGCTTTCCTACTGTCTGGACTCTTCAGGGGTGTTTGTGGACAGTCTCACTCCGGCTCTGGATGCCTTCAGTCTGGATGGCGTTTTCAGGATCAAAGAGAAGCAGTTTGAAGGACTGGCCACATTCTACCGCAGGTCAGCAGCCACAGTCTGACGGAAACCTCTTTAGGGTGCTTTTTGTTTTTTCTTCTAGTTTAGTCGGACGCAGCTCTGGTGGGGTAGGGTGGGGTGATGTTTGGAATTAACAGAGTCAACCATCAGAGATTTTTGCAGGACAGATTATATCGGGATAACTATCCCTTGAACATTCCTGGGTGCATCAGTCCATGTGATTGTTTCCTATCAATAATCGGGATTCATGTTTTTAAGTGGATGCATCAGTGTAATGCTTAGATTTTGCCAGGTGGTTAATTTGCTTGATGTCTGGTTATATTAAGAGTTAATCATTACACCTCAGCATCACAATAAAAATGTAAAAAAAAATAATGTAAAATCTCAAATACACACAAATCCTACAGTAATAGGCATGGCCTTCAGGTGGCTGTTAAACCAGGTGGTCTAGGTGGTGACATCAGCATGTCTGCTTCTGCAGGTACCTTCCCGTCCTACCTCTGCCCTCTGGCCACGATGTGATATTAAGGTTTCAGATCTAAATCCAGGACTAAGTTGAGTAATTTAAAAATTGCATCCTGTTGTTTTTGTAGGTCAAAGTTTCGGCTGCTGAGCTGCCATGACATTGTGCTGAGCGAAGCGTTGATCTCTGACCCCATCCATTCTGAGCTACTGGAGAGGGTTTCTGCCAACAGTGCCCTGAAGGACAGGGTACTGCAGAGGTCCACCTCCCTGCAGGTATTGCTGTTCACCTGGCGTACTACCTGAAAGGACTCAGACCCTTTTGTCTTGCCACCTTATGTTGTACTTCTAACAGCTGTAATTATACTGGACATTGAAATTTCAGACACTCAAATATTAGGGTGGTGAAAGCTGTAACTACATTACTGCAGCTGACAGATTAAAGTAATCTCAAGCAAGTTTTGAGTCTTTGCAAGTCGATTTTTATGCTTACTGAAATCAGATGGCCACAGCTCTGCATGCAGTCAGTATGTTTGGAAACTGTCAGATACAAGTATGGTGAATTAAATTGGCAAAAAATGAACAATATTTTCATCAGGATTCAAAATCAATAGTTTGATTATAAACAATAATTGTTGCCCCTGTGTTGTTAGCTGAGGTCAGCATTGTGAATCATTTGTTTCTCTGCAGGTCAGTGTACTTGAGGACCTCAATAAACCAGACAGGAGGGTCTGTGTGGCCAACATTCACCTGTACTGGCACCCGAAAGGTAAAACAACTCATCATTGCTCAGTGTGAACACACCTGATGCCACAGAGCAGAGTGATGAAAGAGCAAATTTCTAAAACTGAACTGATTTCCTTTGAAGGAGGGAATGTTCGCTTGGTCCAGATGGGCGTGGCTCTGCAGCACCTGAACCGTGTGATCAGTGAGGTTGCACCTGGAGCCCCTCTGGTCTTCTGTGGTGACTTCAACTCCTCCCCTAACTCTGGTAACAGACTCCAGCAGACCCTTGTTTGATTTGTTCCCACGTGTTCAGCCAGTAGAGACAGTAATGTATGGATGTGTCTTGTGTTTGAAAACTGAGCAGCCTTTATTCTAATGTAGCAAATACTGTTTATCTCCTCCTGTCTCAGGTGTGTTCCAGCTGGTCACTGAGGCCGTGGTTCCCCAGCAGCATGCAGACTGGAGCAGCTCAGGGCCAGAGGAGTCCTGTAATATGGAACTGCTGTCCACCTTCCCTCCTCTGCTGAGTGCCTGCAGCCAGCCGGCCTACACTAACTATGTGGGAGGATTTCACGGCTGCCTTGACTACATCTTCATACAACCAGACAGCATGCAGGTACTAATACTGCTGCTGCTAATACTACCAGTCCTACTGCTGCTACTGTAATATAACTACAGCTACTGGCACAACTACTACTGCTACCACCTTCCAGTCTCAAAGCTTAAATCAGAATCAGCACAGTTTATTTATAAAATCACATACCACAAATTTGCCTCAAGGGGCTTTACATTCTGTCCAGCAAGCAATAGACAATTTATTGTTAATTGATACATGACCAGTTTTCTTTTAATGCAGTAAAATGTTCCACAGTAGAAACCAAACTCACTGCAGATTAGTCATCTTAAGTTCTTATAGTAAGAACTGTGTTAAGTCGTATGTTTTTTATTAACCAGTTCTACGGGAAGCTAACATGTTCTGTGTGTGTGTGTGTGTGTGTGTGTGTGTGTGTACAGGTGGAGCAGATGATCCCTCTGCCTAGCCACCAGGAGGTCACTGCCTACGAGGCTCTGCCCAGCATTGCTCACCCCTCCGACCACATTGCCCTCATCTGTGACCTGCGCTGGAGACCCTGACCTCTGACCTTTAACTATCTGGACAAAGAATGTTGGAAAACCCCTGCAAATACAGTGACTGGATTTCTTTATACTTGAAAACAGCATGGACCTATAGGTTCACTCTATCACTGAAAGTCAACAGAAACATGAGTGACACAGTATGACTAACATGTTATGGCTAAATTTATATATTAATATTTGTGTCCTTAATATACAATAATCATTTTCCATCACTGATATTCAGTGTTAGGTTTGTTGCTTTAAAAAGGTATGCATTGCTTGGTATTTTTCTTAGAAATAATTACTTTATTTGGTGCTCCCAACACAGAAAACTAAGTTGTACTTCATAGCAGGATGATAATTGTCAGTCGTACTACCGGACGTAATGTTATTTCTTGCCTTCTTAAACATTTTAGATTATATGGACACTTGATATATTCAGTACACAATGACATGGTTGATAAATACCTATTAAAATTTTAATTTGGCCAAAGGTTGCTCTAATTCTTAAGTAAAGTTTTATTTATTTTTTTTATAAATTTGAGTTCATAGAAACAATTGTGCATGAATCAAATTTAGTCATGTGCACTTTGGAGGGGCTGTTCTCTATGGATGTAATTGACAAGTAAGTATAAATTTTAATTCTGATGACTGGGTTCATTTAATTTAATTTAATAGTTCCTCACTCTGGACAAAATATTCACTTGCAGCTCATCTCCTAATCTTGTGGAAGACCATTCCTGGGGGTTTTAGGGGGACAAAAATAAAAATGCTGTGTAAAACAAAATTGTGATTTTTTTTTTTAAGACAAGTATGAGAAATCAAGTGAAACATTTTGACAAAGTTCAACTACAACTAAGAATTTTATAACATTTGACTTCAAATATTTGATTTGCACTTTATCCATGCGCTTGCTCAAGGGTGATTTATTGGCTTTTTCCTCAAATAATAATAATATTATTATAAAGTCTATTCCGTACTTTGTAAAGTGTGCTGAGATGACTTTTGTTGTGGTTTGTTTTTATGATACATACAACACTTGAAGGCAACACCAAAAGAATAAGAAGCTGGTAAACTAGCTGTTAGATTAAATTTCTGTAGTGCGGAAATGCATTAATATCCACCCTCCATCGCCACGCTGTTTTTCTCTGATTGGTTAAAATGGTAAGGGGGCGGGACCGAAGGTTTGAGACATACCATTGTGTCTAATGTTAGGGGGTGTTTAGGGGTGTTTAATTATATTTTAGGGAATGGGTGCGACAAACACAACACTTTCGGCTTTTCCCCTCAAGATAATAGCACAAAAGTGTCTCGCTTTCATTTCTTATGACTGAGTAACATTTTTTTTTTTTTCGTTTAAGACGGTCCCGGATTTGAATATCCCCGACTCGGTGACAGCAGTTAGAGGCAGACAGTCAGGTTTGCAAAAATTAGCCAGATTATACCGGAAACTTTGTGCTTTGGCTTTTAAAATATAAAATCTTTACATGTTACTATAAACTTCATTTTAAAAGCTTATAGTTACATTGGACAGTGGTGGTATAAGTAATTAGATTATTTACCGGAGGGTAAAAAGAACTTTGTTACAATACTCTGTTACAACTATAATTTCTGCATTCAAAAAGTTACTTAAGTAAAAGTTCAAATGTACTAGTATTAAAATATTGCACTAAATGTAAAAGTAGGCTACTCATTATACAGAATGACATATTTCACATTAACATGTATAATTTGATTATAATTAATGATGCATTAATATATTTTTTGCTTTAATGTATTAGCTGAAAACATTTCGCAGATAAATATGGAGCAAATGTTAACTACTTTATACTTTTATTATTTGAAATACTTTACATAATTGCTGGATAGCTTGTTAATTTTACATGTAAAGTCAATAAAGTATTATTTTACTGTATTTTGTTTTGTATAATCACATTCTGAAAAGTAACTAGTAAGTACAGTTATCAAATAAATGTGAAGTAAAAAGTACAATATTTACTGTTGAAATGTAGTGCAGTTGAATTATAAAGAGGGTTAAGCAGAAAATGAAATTAGTCAAGTATAGATACCTCAAAATAAATGTGGCTTACTTTTACTTCCCAGTTCAGATACTAGAGTTACTTCTTTACATGTTCACAAAGGCTCAGTTTAACTAACGCCCATTTTTCACAGATGTTAATAACACGGTTTTAGTTGTTTTTACTTAATTGAAAGGCTATAGTACCATGTATTAGATGAAAAATCGATAGGTTCAATATTCAATTGAACGGAAAGCGCATTAACATTTTATTTTGAATCTCACCCGGATGTTGAATGTGTCGTGTTTTCTGACTTGACGCTGAGCGGCTGAACCGGAAACCAAACAACAAACTCAGATTTAAACGATCTTACGTGTCATTCCCAGAGTTTCACTGATTCAAGACATCACCGAAGAGAGAAGAACAAATTCATGTATGTTTTCACCATTTTTACTCAGTTTCACACAGCCTGAAGACACGAGCAGGATGCTAACGTTAGCAAGCAGTTTGTAACAAATTGCTGTAAATTAAGTCACCAGTAAGTTAGCTAGCTGAGCTAAGTTAGCTGCAGTCACTATGAGTTAATTTGTGTCAGAGCTCAAAACACAAGTTCAGTCTTTATTTATCTTTGGACTCGTAGCTAGCATTTCAGACTTAAACATGTGACTGTTCACACTCCAATTGTCGCTGTTTTATGGTCTGTATTGTTGATAAGAGGGTTAAGCTAGCTGCTGCTTGGTGTTATGCTCATAGCCGTGCTTGTCATAATCAAAGTCTCAGTGTGTCCTCGTTTTGTCGCCTCTGTGTGTTGTTATTGTGTTGACACAGTATAGAAACTAAACTAAACTAAACTAAAATAAGTGAACTAACATGCTTGTACAGCCAGACTTCCGTAAAGAATGAATGAACGAACTCTTGTGTCCTGAACGAGCACTATGACAAGAATGTGGTGACAGAGGACACAGTTTTCTCCTCTCTCATTGGGTCATCTGCTTTAAAAGTTTACACGGGAAAATTATTCCGTCAAATTATAAACAAATTTAAAAAACTTAATAGATCTGATAAGTGGTTCAAGAAACTTTGGAATGCTTTTGATCAGGGTGGGCAGGACCACAAATGTAGGCTTTGATTTCAGAATCAGCTTTTTTAGCCAGGTGTGTTGGACACACGAGGAATTTGACTCTGGTACAGCGGCTCTCAATGTGTATGTACATGTCCATGTAAGGCAGCAATGGACAAGGCTACTTTAATTACCACCCCATAAGAAAAGAGCAGTTTCTTTTTACAGCTTCATGTTCATTACTTAATGTAAATCATGCATGTTTATTACAGTATATAAATCATAGTATGATTGACATAATAGACTTGAGCTGCCCACCCCTGAGACCATGTTTGTGATCCCCACAAACTCCTGTGTTCTGCTTCTACTAAAAACAAAACTTATTGTACAGTGTATTTTCACAAGGTGTACACCTGTCTCCACCTCTCTTAATGCGAACTAAGCTGCAAAGTGACAAGTGAGCAGCTGTGATCTGGTGACCACGTTTGGTTAGGTGTGCTCAGTAGTGCCTCACATTGGTCAAAATATGAACAACACACTGATGGGTTACAGTCAGAAGAAAAACCTGATTAAGTTCTTAATTAAAATGATAAGTGGAAATTCTTGGGGTTTTTTTAAAACATAAATATAATAGTATTGTCATTAGTGTTGCGTCATTGCTTTGGAAAACATCTACCTGTATCAGTCACCATCCATGACTCTCCTTTCTCCTGCTCAGGCTGGTTCTGCTCTCATCATTCATGAGCTGTGGTTGTACTGGTTAACGGTTGCTAACAGCAGAAACATGAAGGCTTTGATCCTGGTGGGGGGGTATGGGACCAGGCTGCGACCGCTCACCCTGAGCGTCCCCAAACCACTGGTGGAGTTCTGCAACAAGCCCATCCTGCTGCACCAGGTGGAGGCACTGGTCAAGGTATGGAGAGACGCTGATTTAACTGTACTGGTAACGTGTCACTTTGTGCTTTCATTTTGGCTTTACTGAAGCTAATATTCTGTGTGTGTGTTGGGGTGTGTGTGCGTGCGTGTGTGCAGGCTGGGGTGAACCATGTGGTTCTGGCAGTAAGCTACATGTCGGAGCTGCTGGAGAGAGAGATGAGAGTCCAGGAGCAGAGAGTATGTACAACAAACCGCCACACTGACTCACTATTAAAGCTGTGATACACAACAACACATACATCTAACACCTGTACACAGACTCCAAGCCACAAAACGTTATTCTAAAAGACAGCGTTTTAAGCTCTGTGGCTCAAAATGCTTATATGTGTTTTGGTTAACTTTAGTAGTCCACTTACTGTAATAGGACTTTCCTGGAAGATAGTTTTGTCACTCACCCATACTGGTATCACATTATTCAGGTGCTTCTTGTATATTTGATTTGACCTCTGCCCAGTTACAGCAGAGATGGATTCGTTTGTCTCTCTGAGGATCAAAAAAAGACATTTGAAAAATTCAACATGTCTTTCCAGTGTGTGCAGTTTTCTGCTGCTCTGAATGACTGATTTACATTTATTAATGATGGAGATACATTTAATAACACCTTTTTATTTTAAGTCAACCTATTTTCAACGTGTTAATTGTTTTAACCAAAAAAAATTCTGATTAATTACCCATGTAGACGGCCATTAATTGCACCTTAAAGTGGCCAATACTTGGTGAAATCCATCTGTAAAGGAGAATCTGGTTGAGACATGGCTTCCAGCTGAAACATGTCTTAGATTTTTTTCTTATTGTCTGTAAAAATTGACCCTTTGGCAGTTCAGTGCCTTAAGAACATTCGTATCCATTGTGATATATTTTGAGTAAATGCCTATTCTGCTGTTTTCTGAATGTGTCTTTATTTCGCCTCAGCTTGGGATTCGTATCTCTCTGTCTCATGAGAAGGAGCCTCTGGGAACAGGTGAGTTTCTCTTCACAACACACAAATTCAGATAGGAAACTTCCTCTGCGCTGCAGCCAAGTCTTTTTAAAAGTGTCAAGTGACTGATATTGTAAGATTTTTATTTTATTATTTTTTAGCAAAAGTAGAAAGGTAATGTCAGCCCAGTGTCAACTGGGATTGGCACCAGGCCCCTGTGACCCTTTTCAAGAATAAGTGGTATAAATAATGGATGGATGAAAGAAAGACAAGTATCCCAGTTTTGTTTTTAATTTACCTGAAGGAAGTTTAGGCACTTTGAGTCACTGATTTATTGGGCTGTAACGGCTTGATGAGAGAGCTAGAATAATGTGCATAATTATAAGATGTTTTTTTATGTGAAACCATAAAAAAAACGTGCAAATGTTAAAAGAACCGAGCCTAAGGGACTCTGATGCTTTTTTTTTGTAGCAGAGTGAGTAGAGTTCATGGTCAGAGGTATATGGACACCTGAACATTACACCCATATGTGATAGTTGAACATTCGATTCCAAAACTATGGGAATTAATCTGCTGCAACAGTCTTCCAGGAAAAACAGACCAAAAGCTGACAAAGTACAAGGCTGTCCTCATACGTTTGGTCATATAGTGTCATTTCTGTCCTGGAGAATATGGCTTGAACCACTTGAGTCCTGTGTAGTTTCCCAGTTTGTCTAGTTGTAATGTGTTATAGTAGGGCTGCAACTAATGATTATTGCTCTTATTGATTAATCTAATCGATTGATCTTTTTTCTTTAACATGCCAGAAAATGGTGACAATTGTGTAAGTTTCCTGAAGCCCAAGGTGATGTCATCATGTTGCTTGTTTTGTTTGACCAACAGTTCAAATTATAAAAATATATGTAACTTACTGTCACACAAGCAGCAAGTCCTCACAAATGACAAGCTGAAAGTGGGTTTGATTTATTTATTTATTTTACTTTAAAAATGACCTCAATAATTGATTATCTGATTTGCAGATTATCGTTCTGTTGATCCATCAGGACTATGACTGAAAGTAAGATATATAATTAATAAATATGAGACATAATGAAATATGAATGTGTGTTTGTGCACAGCGGGCCCTCTGGCGTTGGCTCGAGAGCTGCTGAACGTTGACAATGAGCCGTTCTTTGTCCTAAACTCGGACGTCATTTGCGATTTCCCCTTCAAAGACCTGATGCAGTTCCACCGCAACCACGGCAAGGAGGGAACCATCGTGGTGAGAGAGATAGTGTTAGCAGTGGTTTCTTTTCTTCTTTCAGAGTTCATCAGACCAAAACAATGAGACACATCCACCAACAGATGATTCGGTGTTGAAGAACAAAGACAGAGGATCATTTTTATCCAGACTTAAAATCAAATGTGATAATGACTCAAAGAGAAAATGGCAAATAATTCTTACTCTATTGTCGCTCTCATGATAATCAGGCCATAATTAAATTTGAAAAGAAATAGAATGGATAGATTTCAATGAAACGTCCACATTAAAAACCTAATTAAGTTTTTGGAATATTTATAATCTTGGCTGGCAACACGTTTTCCCCACTTTATTTATTTGTTTGTTTTTGTCATCTTTGTTCTTGGTCCTTAAACTCCAGGCTTTTGTCTTGAGAATGTAAAAATTAAATAATTATATAAATAAACCATTCAAATGTATGCATTTATGGATAGAATATATTGTGGCTAAATAAAAATAATAAAAAACTCAATTTTGATTTTGCAGTTCGGTAAAGTGATTTGATAATTCTAGGTATAGATTGTCAGATTGTTTGCATTGCTGCTTTTCACTTTTTGACTTAATTTATCCTTATTTAAGACACTTGTTTATGTTAAGTATATAAATATTTTAACCCTATAAAGCCTGACATATCAAAAAATAGCCAGAACATTCAAATTTTTCAGAACTGAGATGTTTATTAAACCTTTTAACAAAATCCAAAATATAATTCATGATTCAAAATTCAAGATTCATGATTTTGTTGTGGCTAGAGTGTGATGCCGACTAAATTAATTCAGACAAATCATCCCAATTTAAATGATCATTTAATATTACAATTATTCTGAATACCAGTGTCAGCTGGGATTGGCTCCAGCCCCCCGTGACCCTATTCAGAAATAAACGTTATAGATAATGGATGGATACTGGGCTCACACTTTACTACATTCTGTACTGTTGGACGCTGGAAAATTTTCTGAATTTTAATTGATTTAGACCTGATTTTTACAATGAAAAACATTTTTTTCTTTTCATTATTAAACTAAATTGGTTCCTGCTGTAGTTTCACTTATATCGATAATGATGCTGGATTCCATGTAAACAGCAGTTCAGTACAACCAGCAAATAAACCAAATAAACTCTGTGTGTCTGTGTGTGTGTGTGTGAAGGTGACGCGGGTGGAGGAGCCCTCCAAGTATGGCGTAGTGGTCTTTGAGGCGGACAGTGGGAGGATCCATCGCTTCGTCGAGAAACCGCAGGTCTTCGTCTCCAACAAGATTAATGCTGGCATATACATCTTCAATCCCAGCATGCTCAGCAGGATCCAGGTGACGCTCTCACACACACAGCCTCAGATGTCTGTCATGGTTACACTTCACAGGCATGTGTCCACTTAAACCACAAGTGCTGAGATTGAAAGTTAAAACTTCATGAAAAGTGCAATTGTTTGTGTAAATGGTTGCACATAATTGTGAGTTTTGTGTATGTGTGTGCAGCTGAGACCAACATCCATTGAGAAGGAGATCTTTCCTGTCATGGCAGAGGAGGGACATCTGTACACCATGGAGCTACAGGGTAACTGTTACTACAGCTCTATACTCTAGTGTACTAGGGCTGTAATTACACATGTATTTGTCTTCATTCAGTCAGTACAGGACTAAAAATCTGCAGGCTTGATGTCCACTGTGATGGTTTGGACAGTCAAAGTTTCTATAGTTTGTGGATGAATGAATGAAAACCAACTATTAACCAGCTGTTCATAGTTGCTCTCACTGTGTGTTTGTTGTGTTCTGTGTGCTGTTTGTCTTTCTCTGTACGTCTGTCTGCAGGTTTCTGGATGGACATCGGTCAGCCTAAAGACTTCCTGACCGGGATGTGTATGTACCTTCAGTCGCTAAGACAACACGCTCCTGAGAGGCTACGCACAGGGCCCGGCTTCCTTGGCAACGTTCTGGTGGTGAGTGCAGCTCACTGTTGTTGTAGGTCAAACAAAGAAGCGATGTAAAGATCCTCTGTCAACTCTCTTTCCTCTGAAGGACCCGACGGCTCAGATTGGCGAGAACTGCACCATCGGACCAAACGTGACCATCGGCGCTGGCGTGGTTGTGGAGGATGGGGTGAGGATAAAGCGCTGCACGGTGCTGAAAGGAGCACGGGTTCGATCACACTCCTGGCTGGAGAGCTGCATCGTGGGGTGGAGCTCCTCTGTTGGCCAGTGGGTGAGTAGAGGAGAGTGATCATCCGCCTTTCTCAAGCAAAGATCACTTGTCCAAATATGAGCCGCAGTCTGTCATTTAGACAAATCACCGTGTCCAACACTTTTTCACCCTCATTAAGCCATTTACTAACCTAGAGCTGCAACCATTAGTTAGTTTACTGATAGAAAATTAACCTGAAACACAACAAGACATTTGACTCTGTGAATAAAAAGATCAAGAAAATAATCACCAGATTACTCAGGGACTCCTGCATTTTTCATTTGCACTTATTTATTCTGGATTTTTGTTTAATTTGTCACCATCTGTATGCCCATATAAGAAATATATATTGTCACAGCACAGGTAGCACTGTTAAAATGGTTTGTTGATTGGTCAAGCAGATATAAGTACCACTAAGCCTTATGGCTTCACCAGCTACAAAAAGGTCGCATTATATACTGAATCACTGCCAGCAGCATTAAAGGATACAGGTCCTCCCTGAACTCCAAAGAGCTTGGCTGAATTACTGCAGTCACTTCAGTATTTCCAAAACAAACGGAGGTGGTGGTTGGGCCTTTTTTGAAAACTACAGTCCATTTCCTTTTAATTTCTTCACAGTCGAAGACTCCCTATGACTTACCTGAGCAAAACTTTTAGGGAACAAGCATAGTAAGATGTAATCACTTTAAAATTGCAGTTGCAGAGGGCACATATAGCTTTGATATGGCTCAAGGACAGAGTTTTAATAAATGAAAGCTGGTAAATATTCTTTCAAAAATGAAATGTTTCAAGAATGATTTAGAACTATACAAAGATCTCATTTGACAGGTTAGTGACTCCTGGTGTAAGAAATTGTCCAAGGTACTGAAGTACTACAATATCTGTCTCAAAAGGAGAAGTGAGGCATAAAATGTTCAGTAGAACATTTTGGGTTCTTTCATAAATGATTTGTCATCAGAAGCTATAATTTGCAGTGTGCCATAAGGGTCTGTGTTTGGTCCTGTTCTGTCCTTTGTGTGCATGTTGTCCTTTGGCCACATAATTACTTTGATATCTCTGAACATTGTTATGCTGATGACACACAGCTCTATCTTTCAGTCTTTATTAATGCTGTGAATTTGGAGATTATTCAGAACCGCCTCAATAAAACAATTCATGTGTCAAAATTCTCCACAACCCAACTATAACTAAACCAAGTCTGTTTATTGGCCTGTAGTTTTAGGTTAAGTCAATTCAAATTTAATTGACCCGCTGAGCCCAAATAGTTAAATTGTTAAATCTTGTTTGAGTTTCATGTGAAACTCGGTCCCGCTTTTCCCACCTAAGAAACACTTGCTCAGACTCATTCTTCAGCTTCAAGACTTGAAACAGTCATACAGGTTTTTATTTATGTATTCCCGCAGCTACTGTGACACACTGTTCTGTCTCCGTTATTCTGTTTCATCAGGTACGTATGGAGAATGTGACAGTGCTGGGGGAGGATGTGATTGTGAATGATGAGCTTTACCTGAACGGTGCCAACGTCCTGCCTCATAAATCCATCAACGATTCGGTCCCAGAACCACGAATCATCATGTAGCATCAGGTGGAGGAGAAAATCTCAGCGCCTTTTATATAAACTTGAATGAACACCCAAACTGTGCCAGATTGAGGATGAACATACAGGAGGGAGGAGAGAATAAGGAACATAAGAAGGCTTTTTTCCTTCTTTTTAACATTAATTTGGACTCATTTTTAGCCCTGCTTAGCTGCAACTTCCATCAATCAGAGGTGATGACTTAAGCATGTGACCAGTCAAAAGGCAGCCTGACCCATCAGGTATATGAGTTAAACTTCTGTCAGAGCTGCAAGTAAAACGTTAAACACTAATGTCCTGAATGTGTCAGATGGTAAATGTGTGTGAGCACTGCTTTAATATAGAACAAGTGTTTGTATGTAAGATGGCAGAGGGGTTTTGAAAGCGATATGAACACTGCTGTTTAGATTCACTATGCATTTATGTTTCCTGGAGAACCAGTGAACAGGTACCGAAGAGTCACTTGCTGTAGAGGAGATTTAAGTCATTAATGATGACAAGATTTCTGACCAGACGTATATAAAAAATTATAAACAGCAGTATTGGTTATAGTGAAAGGTGTGCTTGATTTTCTCCTTTCTTACACCTTATAAAGCTGTTACGGGGGCTGGTTTAGCAAACTTTATTATTTACTCAACCTGCAGATGTAGAGCAACATGACTGTCCCTTTGGAGTTGGGTTTGTGGATGTACGTCCGGTATACTGTTTTTTTAGCTCCGTTTCTAGTCTCTACCAGCCCATGAGAAAAGTATCTGTCCTTTTAGCCAGTAGATGTTCCACTGCTGCTGGAGATGGTGTTGAACAGTTTGCAGACTGAAAAACCAAGCATGAGACCCTAGAGGAGAAAAGTCTCCGTAGAGCTGGAGAGTTGGTGAGACCACTCTCGCATCACCCTCAGTAATTTGATCAGGTGTACTCCAACACTGTGACATCATTGGTGGGTGTCATTACAGGTGCAGCCAAAGTTCTCAGCCTCCTGTTGAATTTCTCTTTAAAGGCAGAGAAAGGTGAATTTATTTTTCTCATTCATTCTGGTCTGATTGTCCAAAATACATTGTGAGAGTCTTGACAAATCCAAATCTTCACACTCAGCTCAACTTTCATCAGTTTTAGCTGGACTGTGTCATCCTCCTGTAAATCAATCAGTTGCAGCTGGTATGTTAATGTGCAACTGTGAGATGTTAACATGCTGTTGTCATGAAATGTTTACTATATTAGCTCGTTAACATGCTAACGTACTAATTTCAGTATGCTCCCACCCGCTACCACAGAGACTGGAGGATTTACTCCCTGAGTGCTTGAGTTAAATTCACAATGAAGCAGGAGCTAAAGCTAAATTCATTTTTGACCTGGTTGACAAAACTGTTTCACCACAAGCTCCATTAGAGGGTGTGTTGGCACTTTCCACTGGGTGACTGATGTCAAGGTCATGAATGAATTTCAACCTCACTTTAAAAAGTGCTCAGAAAAACTGACATCTGAGTAAATTCCAACAGGGACTAGTGGACCTTGTGGTGTCGTTCCTGTCCTTGTTGCTCCACTGGTGACTCCTATGGGACATTTAAGGTGGTGGTAGAAGTCAGGGTGGATGTCCCGGACCTCATGCTATCCTTCTGTGGTTGAAGGCCATACAACAGTTAGCATGTTAACATGATATTTTAGTATCTCCAAGAAACTGACTTGTTAGATGAGTTAAAACTTTGTGACACTAGATGAAGTCAAAATCATTAGAATTAATGTTTGGATCAAATTTCACAGCAATCCTTCCAGTAATGGCAGGAATATCTTACTCTTCACCAAAGTCCTAGATTGACTGACTGACACCCAAACATTGCAGAAGAACTTAACATTTGAATGATGTATATTAATAAACATAAACAGAAGACCATCTGAAACTGATTCGATTCTAGGGGGAATGACTTGGTTTTTGTCATCCTTGGTGCAAAACCAAGTCATTTTACCATTCATCGAAGATGATGTTAAATCAAAAGGCACCTCACATGATAAAATGTTGTATATTGTTGAACATGTGGAACGTGTCACGACAGGCGTCCATGGTTTTATCAGCTCAGATGCACCATATTAATGTGTCAACATTTAACTTCTTACTAATCATGAACATGATGCAGCAGGTGATGCAGACGCCCAACACTGATCTCTGACCAGAACGCAGTGGTTCTGTTTGTTATGCAGTTAGTGGGAAACAGTTTTAGGACACTGGACATGTAAAGACTTGGACTTGGACTGAATTGTCAATTCTTGTAATGAAGTATTTTTAAAAAGAGAATAATATTATCTACTGACAGCATTCTCATCCTGTCTCTTTTTTAATGTGTAGTTTGTCAGTGCACTGACTTTTACACATGAAGTCATGGTTCGTCTTCAACCTGTGAGAATAGTTGCATAATGTCTTCTGCAGTGTCATCAGGGTGATTTCAGGTTTTGTTTGGTGACTGCAGCGTTACAAACTGGAGGTGCAGAGTTTAAGAAATTTAGGGAGTGTCTAATGAAAACATGCTGCATTATGGGAAATGTAGGATCCAGTTTCACTATTGTTTTTTTGTTGTACGTCTCTCACAAGTACCCTAACTCTTCATACTTGCTATACAAATCACTGTAGTACTCTTTTTAAATAAATCATGTATAGTTAGCTTTAACAAGTACAGATATCTCAAGATGATGATTTTTGAGAGAAACCTTTTCTGATTATCAGAATTCCAGTCGAGATCAACTTAATATGAGCAACAGTATTTACTTTGCAACTCTGTGTTTTAAATTTCTCCACACCATATAAGCAACAAATTGTGAAATGTTTAAACACAACCTAATATGATTTAATTTTTTAAATATAAACCTGTTTTCTCTAAACATCACTACTTATATATACACTATACTATATATTATTACTATAGATAATGGCTAGCCTGTACTCAGAATATTTCAACTCAAAATTTTATGACAGTTTGAAACTATTCTGACTGATGTTGAAATAATTTGCCTTTTGTTCTTTTAATAATACGACTTCATTCTCAAAATGTTAAGACTATGTTATGGAAATCTCAAATACCATTTACTGAAACATTCAGTGGCCTTAATACTCTACCATAGTTTCGAACTGTAACTATACATCATGTGGGTTTAGCTCAGGCTCAAAATCTCTGGACGCATTTTAGATTTTATTCATTATTTACTTTTAGAATAAAAATTAAAAGCACAAGTAGTAGAAGTGTCTCAAAAAGGTATCAAAATACAAAGATACCAGTCACTAATACCTTTTTACGTTCATAAAATGCATCTGCTTTCCAATGCATAGTCATTTATAATATGTTGAAAATTAGGCCTGAATCTAAAGGAATGACTTTGCATACACAGTGACGCTGACAATGCAGAGTTAAATAAAAGCTTTAAAAGTGAAATAACAAAAATCAGCAGGCCTAAAAATCTA